AAGTAACCCCGTTTCTAAAATTTTTATTTGTGCGCAAAAGCGCATGTAGGCAATCGAGCTGTAGGCAATAATACATGTAGGCAATCGAACTGTAGGCAACAGTGATTTAGGCAAAAGGTACTGTAGGCAATCGATTTGTAGGCAAAAGCAACCATCTCCATAATTATGCATAATTTTATATGTAATTATACGTAAGTAATTATTTTACATTACTTCTTGAAACTTGATTTTTTTAAAAACAAATAGTGCGAAAATATTACCTTTTTAATTATTTTTAATGTTTTCACATTACTATTATTATTTTTATTACACTAAAAAGTATAAATTTTATAAAAGAAAAGAGGATGTATGAAAATGTATAGACATATTTCATATATAATTATATATGTTTATGAATATGTAATTATTTATGTGTGTTAAGTATGGTTATACATACTTATACATATTCATGCATGAAAAATTTTTTACCGGGTCTTTTAATCTATTTTATTGTTAACAAAATATATATATTATTCGTTTATTTACAAAACACCTAATTCTTGCGTCGCAATGATACTTAATATAATTGCATTTTAAATACTTAAAGTACTTACACACAAAAGTTATTTAGATTATTTTGTCATTATATATTTTTCAAATTTTATTAGTATTGTAATAAGAAAATAATAACAAATAAAGTAAACAAAAATGTGTCTAATAAAAATAAAATGCTTGAAATACAACTTAATTCATATGTATATAGTTTATTTAAAATATAAATATTAACATATTTATAAAAATATAATATAACCTTAATGTTAATACTTTTAAGCGAAATAAACGTCACGCGCATGTAAGATTGCAGAGATTAATATTTCTGATTCACAATTTGTGAATGTAGCACGATTATACGAAACAAGTATCAATTTATCATCTCGAGTTGAAAAGTAGATGTATTACCCTCAGAAAAGTGGACGTATTACCCTCAGAGCTAAGTTTACACTTTGTCAGAGGGCAGTAGTGCGCGGCAGTATTTTGCGGTTACAGGTTTTAGGCCGGTATTGCCTCTCTCAGGTTTCTCTCTGGTTGTGTTATTCAACAGTAAAATTTTCAGTAGCTTCGAGTGAAACTGACGCACATACGGAAATAAAGAAATGGATCGCAAACATTCACGGGACATGGATGAACGTGCTAGCAGATCAAAGAAAAGAAAATTCACGGGTAATATTCACACTCGAGAAACGGATACTTCATTTGCAAGTACATCAGCAGAAAATTATCCAAAACTCAAGACGAAGAAATTATATTAGACTCAGGTCACGGTTATTATATCATCGCTTTCTTGTCGGTCTTTACTGCAATTTCTCATTTTGTTATTTGTACAGTGCAAAGAGGAAGTACGTTTCGGTGAATCTAATGCTCGAGGTTTAGGTTTTAAAATAGCAGTTCACATGCAAGTGTGATACAAAATATATAAATTCCTGCCCTTTGATAGACAATAAATCGTATGATATAAATAGAAGACTTATATTCGTCATGAGATTATTGGGCATTGGTAGAGAAGGTATAAATTTATTTTGTGGTCTCATGGATTTATCTCAAGGTTTTAGTAATACTTTGTACTATGCTGTTGTGGAAAATATTTATATTGGAGCAAAGGCTATTTTCGATATTTTGCGAAGAAAAGCAGTAGAAGAGGAAAAAATTAAAAATTCTAAAAATGGCAAATCAATAACTGAGATAACTGTTTCTGGTGATGCAACGTGGAAGAAAAGAGGCTTCAGTTTATTGTTTGGAATCACAACACTTATTGGTAAATATACAAACAAAGTGATTGACCTCCTTGTAAAATCTGCTTGTTGTCATGCTTGTAAATTATGGGAATCTAAACATGAAACTCCGGAATATGAAATTTGGAAAGAAAATCATACAGAAGAATGTACTGTAAATCATGATGGATCAGCTGGGAAGACGGAAATTGACACCGTAAAAGAAATGTTCAACCGATCTTGGGTACTGTTGGAAATTAAGTACGCTTATTACATTGGTGATGGAGACTCTAAAACTTTTAAAGCCCTATTAGATAATAATCTTTATGGTAATAATTTACAAGTGAAAAAAAAATGCGTACGACATGTGGAGAAGCGAATGGGTTCACGGTTAAGAAATATAAAGAAAACTCATAAACTTGGAGGAAAAAATAAATTAACTAATACGAGGGTCACTATTTGTATTTTGAGTCTAATAATAAAAAAACAATAATTTGTTATTTATTGTTTTTCAAAATATTCTCCTTTATGATCTATACACTTTTGCATTCGTTCGAACCACTTGTCAAAGCATTTTTTCCATTCCGCTTGAGACACCTCCAAAATATGGTCTTTGAACGCATCAACGGCTTCTTCTGCCGACGAAAATCGTTGTCCACGCAATTTATTCTTGACGTTCGGGAACAAAAAGAAGTCATTTGGTGCCAAATCAGGACTGTACGGCGGATGACCCATTAATTCGATTTTTTGAGTGCTCAAATAGTCGGTTGTTAGACGAGATGTG